GCTGACTTCATTTTCCAGCAGGACTTGGCACCTGCCCACAGCACCAAAACCTGGTTCAATGACCGTGGGATTACTAAGCCTGATTGGCCAGCAAACTCGCCTGACCTGAACCCCATAGAGAATCTATGGAGCATTGCCAAGAGAAAGATGAGAGACATGAGACCGAAATTAGTGAAATAAATTAACTTTGCACGATATTCTAATTATTCGAGTTTCACCTGTAGGTATATGTGGGCTTAGTAGTGCACTTGACTGGAGTAGCGTTCCTGAAATGTCACTTCTATCCGACTCGAGTGCGATCTCACATTCCACCCCACTCACAAAGTCTGATGGAAGTGACATTTCAGGACCGATAAGCTGTTCCAGGGCAGATCGGTTCTCCTGCACATACGATTTGCGATGCCGATCTGCCCTGGAACAGCTGAGAAAGCATTGGTTGACTTATTGGTGGTCACACATTCCACCGCCAAAAAACTGGGCAGGATTACATTGAATATGTGTGACCACGTGACCGGTCACACATTCCAACCTAGTCACAAACTTTGATAGAACTGCAGCCCTGTCTAATCATTTAATCAGAGAAATAGATTATATTAGGCAACATTACAGTGTAATGTTGCCCATTATAATCCACTTTTCTGATTACCGTATATACTCGAGTATAAGCCGAGGTACCTAATTTTAGCCAAAAAAACTGGGAAAAAGTATTGACCCGAATATAAGCCGAGGGTGGGAAATGAGGCAGCTACTGGTAGATAGATACCATTAAAATACATTATACTCGAGTAATACGGTAAATGAAATAACAGCACACAGTGTGCAGTACCACCCCCCCCCCTCTCCATTCTGACTCACCTATCAAGCCTCACAGCCAGACGGTGTGCACTGCAGGGGGCGGGGCATGTGAAACACACTCCTGCCGCCTGTTACTAGGGATGTGGCCAGGAGAGGAGGTGAATCACTGCTGTACATTGTAAAATCCTAGTTCCTCGGTTTTTCTGCCCCTCCTCTCACCTTGCTCATTCACAGAACATCTTGTTTTCTATAAAACAATCACAAAATGGGCAAAGTGAGAGAACAAATGACAGAACTGCATTTTTAAATGGTCAGAATCCCAATATTGGATGCAGTGCATGTTTCTGTGGTGTCGACTAGTGTGTCTATCACTCTTAGTCTGGTGGCACTTAGATTATTCTGTGAGCTGGAAAAGCTGTGCAGCGTAATGGTCACACTGTCCTTCAATGGACATAGAATGGGGTTTTACAAAAGTCCCATTTTCTTTGTTCATCGAGGGACACAGGATTCTGAAAACTGGGATGTCCAACAGGAAGGGCAGAAACAGCAACCAAACGAAAACAAAACTGACAAATCAGAGCCCCCCCCCCGCTACACTTTACATGGAAAACTTGCACCAGCAAAGGCGTAGAAGTCCGCTGCCTGCCAAAACGTTGAAAGCGTGTGAACTAGGACTGCAACCAACTAATCAATGAGAATAATTGTCAACTATTCTCATTATCGGATTAGTTTGTTGGATCCCCTAGCTCTCTCCTCCATGCTGGGAGGAAGGTACAGCAAGCAGTGGGCGAGTGCAATAGCCTGCTATTGGCTATTGCACCCGCCCACTACCTGTTGTATTTGCATTCAGCTGCCTTCTGCAGAATCTTGCCACTGGCAGCTGTCATTCCCTGGCTGAAACTATCCGAGCGCCATGTGCTTACAATACAGTTATTAAAATAAACAATTATAAAAAGGTGGGAAAAAAAGCACATTTTTGGTTGCAGCCTGACAAATTCTGCTGCGGGAGGTGCGTTGCAGTGCCATTCATTTTACTGGCACCCCAAACGCGCCTCCCACCCACAGTGCAATCGCCTGCACTGGAACGCACGGTACGGCAAACGCCATGTGATTCCAAAAAATTGTGCATGTAGTTTTATTCTGAAGTAAACGTTATGTTGGTAACACTGCATTTGTGTATTGTATTTTACATTAAAGATGCCATTTCATTTTTTATCCGATCGAAAAGAAAATAGATTATAAAAATCGTTAGTTGCAGGCCTAGTGTGAACAGAGCACCAGATGGCAGCGCAACAGACCCAGGAAATGTCCTCACAGCACTAGTGCACTAAGTTTCCATAGAAAGGGGAAAGCCCTATATTTTAGATCAGTGATGGTCAACTTTGTTTAACCACTTGCCGTCCGCCCGTAGTAAAAAAACGGACGACGGCACTGCAGCATTGGCGGGTTGCCGTCTCCAGACATTTTTTCTGCTCGCGGGCACGCACGGGCAGAAAAGACCCGACCATTGCACACACCCGTTACCGGGTGTTTCACATATAGGCGATTAGCGGCTCCATAGCCCGCCGATCGTCTATATGTGCTCGTTCAATACGCGTCCGGTGCCCCAGCGCGCAAAAATTACAATTGCGCTACACATGTTACATATCGATGCGAAGGTCGCAGTGAGAGCAATCATTTTAGGGCCATCAATCACTGATAACACTAAACCGATGAGCGGTAACAGCTTTTAAAGCGTCGCCTATGGCCAATTTTGGGTATATCGTTTTTTAGGTTTCGCGCACGCACGCAATTTTAAGGCTTGACATGTTTGGTGTCTTTTTACCCGACGTGACCCTGTCTTTTATATTTTACCAAAAAATTGGGTAATAATAAAATGTTTTATCATTTAATATAGGGGAAACTGTTTTGTTTTTTTAAATTTCGGTAATTTTTCCTTAATATAGTAAAAAAATAAAACCCCCAGTGGTGAATAAATACCACCAAAAGAAAGCTCTATCTGTCCCAAAAAAATGGTATAAAATTAATTTCAGTACAGCGCTGCATGACGGAATAAATGTCAGTCAAAGTACCGCAGCGCTGAATACTGAAAAATGGCCTGGATGGGAAGGGGGTTTAACACCGCGGATGTCAACTGGTTAATCCATGGACTGTCACCAAAGGACTACACATAATATGCAGTAAATATAATACTACAGAAACGTGTCAGAGCCTGCAGACATGCAACAGAAGACTACAAGCGAATGGTCAGTGCAGACATACTACTGGAGATAATAGTCCGAGACTGCGAACATGCTATAGAATTTGATGGATAATGGGAACATGCTTCAGGAGGCATAGACATGTGATATGAGACTGCTAGAGATCACTGCTTTTACAGCAGCTTTACAAGTCAATACTTTCATATTTGTTCTCTCTACAGTCCAGACTCTGGCTGTCACTTCCAGCACAGACACATTTATGACCATTGCTTTGGTGTTTTCCATTTTCATGGACAAGATATTGCCTTGACAGACTTCAGCATGTTCAACATTTATTGGATACAAATCACAATTATAAATATTCTCTTATTAACAGACATAGTTAAGCAATCTTCAGAAGCTTTACATACAGTACTATAAAATGTATCTAAGGAGGAATTAACCTTCCTGGCGGTAATCCCGAGTGTGGCCGTCTTCCGGGTTCCTTCCCTTCGAGCGCCGGCATTGCAGGGGGGCGGAACCGGCGAGAAATTCAAAAGTAAAAAAAATAGTTGAGGAATGCTATACCATGAAACAGTTACTTTTGGTCCTTCGAACCCTAGAAATCTTATAGAACAGTTTTAGTCAGGACATGGAAGATGGGGTTAATCTTCAGTAGGTTCATATCTTCTCCGCACACTACAGGAGATCTGCATTCATGGCCTGCAAAACAAATCAAAGAAATCACTTGTTGGAAGTGATGAACATACATTGATTCCAGTATGTACCCAACAGCTTCCATACACTATCTTACATACTGTATGTAGTGTAATATACAACATGCAATCAAAGCTAAACTCCAGGCAAACCGCTAAATACACAGATATGGAGGGAGTGGTTTTACCTAGCAAAACATTTGTTAGCCCTAAATATTGAGAATTATTGCTCTCACTCTGGCGCATGCGGCGATGCCTGATATGTATAATACAATTGTCATTTTTGTACATAGGTGCACCAGACATAAGTTTCTGTTCCTATGCGCACATTAGGGGGGGCCTTACATTTTTGTTTTGGTATTTTTAAATTTACCTTTATTATTTTAAACTTTTTTTTTTGTTAACTTCATTGCTATCAAATGGAAGGGCTCAGAAGCGGCCTATGTGATAGCACATTGGAGATGACAGGTTCTCTTTAACCAGTTGACATCCGCGGTGTTAAACCCCCTTCCCACACGGGGGTGGGGGAGTTAAACATTTTGGGGGTTTCCCCCCCCCCCCTTTTTTTATATGTGACTTTTATTTTATATTAGTGCCGTCCGCCACATTCTGAAGGCGGGATGTCCCTGAGGCAGGCTGGGGAACAGCACATGTGTACAGGGAAAGGGACCCTGCATAGCCCACCTGAGATCCTGCACAGCCCAACAGAGACCCCAGCTTTCCTGCTATGCTAATAGCGTAACCTGTCAGAAGTTGGAAGTCAGAAGCGCAAACGCTGTATCCAGCGACTGACAGGTTACGCAAAAGGTCTTAAACAGGAAGGGGTAGGGCAAAGTTACATTAGGAGTGTAGTCTTGCCTAGGGCAGAACAAAACCTAAATACACCACTGGCTCCTGCTGATCCTCTAAAGCAGTGGTTCTCATCCTGTGTAATCTCAGGACCCACATTTGTCCTTGGTCATTAAGTCATGACCCAAGTCGCACTGCAATGAAACGCGTGGCATTAGGGTACCGCATATTCCGGTATGGGCGTACAAACTGTGGTTGGGAGCAGGGGCGTAACTAGAAATCCCAGGGCCCCATAGCAAAATATTTTATGGCCCCCCCCTCAAAACGAACGGATCCCCCCCGCCACCACTTCACCAGTTTTGTCAACCCTGTGTGTGTTCACACCAGGTCGGTTCGGTCGTGCGGATTTGTCCACGCTGAAGCGCCAAAATTTACAATCCTATACATTCTTATGGGGACTGTTCAGGCAATCGCGTGGCTCCATGTGTTTCGAACCACCTGCGGCCCAAAATGCTCCCTGGGCTACTTTTTACGTGCTGATCAGCACGTTTTCCATATGTATTTCAATTAAAATGCGCTGATCAGCACGTTTTTAATTGCATTTCAGCGCTGAAATGCGACTAAAAACAGACAAAAATTATCTTTCCAAAATCGCGCAGAAACCATGGTGAAACGCTTCCGCCCTGGTGTGAACGGGGCCTGAATGAGGCCTAACACTTTACTTTAATACTGCCACACCAATGGGAGGCTGAGGAAAGGGGGATTAAAAAAAAAAAAGAATATGTTAAAAATCGTTTTTGTGTTGGTGTTGTTATAAAATGATACAGGCGTATATTTCATTACAACACAATGCACAGCAATGCGTCACAAAGATTTGCCTTGTGCTGCCACAGTTGAATTAATGTTTTTTTACAAAATAAAAAAAATCATGCACTGCACTGTTCTAACAACGCACTGCAGCGCATGTGCCTGGCATACACCGCAATATGGTGCACGTGTATGCTATGTCTGTGGGGGAGGGTGGTTGTGCTTTTAAAAAAAATGTATTGTACATTTTTAATTTATTTTTTATTTATTATGATTATTTTACTTTTAGGGGCTTCAGGTAAATATCTGGGGTCTAAACAGCCCCCTGACATTTCCCTTTTGAAATAGAAAAAGACATTGAGGACGCAGAGTCCTCAATTTCTTTTTCTGCAGCCTCAGCACTCAGTAAATGGAGAGCACTCAGGCTTCCCATTCATTCAGAATCTGCTGATAGTAAAATATTTACTATCATCAGTTTCTGAATGGGGAGGAGCCTCTGTACTGAGTGCTTCTCCCCATTGAGAAATTCACGAATGAACAGGATGTGATATAAATCGCAACCTGTTCATTCATTACTGGGTAAACATAGTAGTATGTGTTCCCAGTTATTTACAAACACCGGAGTGATCAGACGATCTCACTCTGGTGTTTGCTCTGCACACAGAGGACCGGTAAATATCAATGATACTTACAGATCCTCCGCTCGTCCACGCACAGAGCCGCTGTCATCCTGAAACTGACAGGATGACAGCGGCTCCACTCTCCTCCCCGCCTGCCGCTCGATCATCCTGTCAGTTTCAGGATGACAGCGGCTCTGTGCG